GCGCTGATCATTAACAGTGTAAAGCTGGAGGATGCTGGGAACTACACCTGCGTGGCTACAAGTGCAGGAGTGTCCAGCGTTGAGCATAGAAGTCGAGTAGTGATAAAGAAAGGTTAGTTTAGTTGTACGAGAATATTTGAAGAAAAAACTTCTGTTCATTAATACTAAATAGTTCGCATAAATCAAAATTAATATAGCTCGACGACAAACTTGAAATTAATTTCACCATGTTTTCAATTTATTTTTCGTTTGCAATTTTTAGTTTTTTATATGTGTCGACTGAGCAAGGGTTGTCTGATAAAGATAAGCTTTATAAAATTCTGTTTGAGGTTATCATTTAGGTACTGAATGAGTATATAGAGACATTTGCTATGATGGCTCAACCGGAATTAGATAGAACCAGAGTGCGTGCTTTGGTTTCCACTGGCGCACAAGCATAAGCCGACATACGCAGACACGCCAGTAAGACGTTGATAATCAGGTGACCAAAACTGACTCAGGCATGCATGCATCAGTGTGCAGCAACAAACATTATGGGTGACTCACGGAAAGTGGTTCGATTTACAGTAAACGGTAAGGTTCCGTCAGAAAGCGGGTTTAAATTGATATTCAGTGAAACCAAAACCAAAGTAATTACTCCAGCCAATCACAAAGGATGCAGGCAAGCGAGTCACGATTAGTTTTGGTTTTACTGTCATAATTAAATACGTACATACATAACCTTTATTTATACACGATTAAAAATTCTGATTGAACCACAGGGAGCCCTCACATCCGTTTAGACTGAATATGAATAAAAGATTAACCTTCCTTTGTTGCGCGTGTTTTGTGTTTTATGGCGGCCATTTTCAATTTTTAATACGCGCGTTCTGCTAGTGCGTGGTCTGGAACCGAAATTACGGAAATCGCTCGGAGCCTGCTCGGAGGAATAAGATAATGACTTTATTATCCTCGGTGAGCGATCGGATCCTCCGAGAATTTGCGAATTTTCCTGCCCGTCCCAGACTTCCGTAATTTCGGTCCCGGACTTCGCACTAGCAGACCGCATATTAAAAATTCAAAATGGCCGCTACAAAATACAAAACACAAAACACGCGCGATTAAGGTAAGTTAATCTTTTATTCATATTCTAAATGGATGTGAGGTTTCGCTGTGATAAAACGACAAAGTAGCGCGGGTTTTCAAGCCAATCACATCGCATTTAAGAATGGAAAGAGAAGCAAAGCTGGAAGTTCCCAGTAAGTCTGTAATAACCTCTAAATTATGCTTTATGCACGGCAATATTTCATTAACATTAAACCTCGTCTATCTACACTGTAAAGTCAAAAGATCTCTTAGGGCCCTAAAATGCCAATTTAGCCCTGGCGACGTCTGATTCTTGGCCAATAATAATCTGGGCCAGACAGCAGCTCTATAAACGAACTATTTCAGCCCAGGCCTACTCATTTCAGTGCGTGAGTCAATATCAGCCCACATAAATCAATTTCCAAATTGGTACCGTGTTTTACTCAACGAAAAGTTTATGCCCCATTTAAGTGTTTAAAACAGCTCTTGTGAATTTATACAGTGACAACGTCCAGTTTACGAAGTATTAACTTGTGTTGTTTATAGTTCATCCTGGTGTTGCTCTTCATCCGGGACCTCACTACATCGCTGAAGGAAGTAATTTCAGTTTTCCAGCCTGTCACGTGACTGGCGACCCAGTCCCAATTGTCACCTGGAGGAAATCATCGGGTAAGTTACCCCAGGGGAGGATGCAGTATAACAACAGTGCTTTACAGATCTCAGATGTCCGTAAAAGCGACTCTGATACGTATCTCTGCTCAGCCGTCAACCTGGTAGGAAGTGATGAAAGAAAAACTCTTTTGGTCGTTGTTCCTCCTCCTCGTTTCACTTTAAAACCGTCTGTGAAGGTGGTTGCCTCTCTTGGCAACAATTTGACGCTGAAATGTAGCGCCACCGGTGATCCACAACCTGTCATCAGTTGGAAAAGACAAGGAGTGAAATTGCCAGTTGGGCGGAGTCACGTGTCAAAAGAAGCGCTGATTATTAACAGTGTAAAGCTGGAGGATGCTGGGAACTACACCTGCGTGGCTACAAGTGCAGGAGTGTCCAGCGTTGAGCATAGAAGTCGAGTAGTGGTCGAACCAGGTTAGTTCCGTTTTACGAGAATATTTGAAGGAGACATTTCTGCATACTGAATGATTCGAATAAATCAAAGAAATATAAGGACGGACTTGAAATTAATTTTACTATTTTTTTCAAATTTCTTTTATTGCATTTTTTAGTTTTTTATATGTGATGACTGATAAAAGGTTGTCTGATAAAGATAGGCTTTATAAAATTCTGTGTTTGAGGTTTCATTAAGTTACGGAGTGAAGATGCAGAGATTTTTACCATGGTGGCACATTAGGAATCAGGTAGGACCAGCGCGCGCGCTATGTTATAAGGCTGGTTTTCACTAGCGCACAAGCATAAGCCGACACACGCAGACTGCGCAGAGGGAGTAAGATATTGATAATTAGATAAAATCTCCTAACAAAGAGGCGCGACTTAGCAGGACTTAACTGCGTCTGTGTATGTTGAATGTGGTTATGCTTGTGTGTAAGTGAAAAACAGCCTATGACCATTTTTCAGCTGGGGAACTACATTTGTGAAGCTGATATCACGCAATGCGTCTAAAACACCTATCATTTTTAATTTGATTTTATATCTGTACTAGTTCGTCTTGTCAATGGCGGAGCATCCTTTGGCCGTGTTGAGGTTTATTACAATGGATCATGGGGCACAGTCTGCGATGATAGCTGGGATATCAATGATGCTAATGTGGTATGTCGTCAGCTTGGCTTCTTTCGTGCATCCAGGGCTCCTATCCTAGCAGAGTACGGTCAGGGGTCTGGCACAACCTGGATGGATGACGTCAGATGTCAAGGAGGAGAGGCATCCCTACTACTCTGTACTCACAATGGATGGGGATCTGAGAACTGTGGTCATAGCGAGGATGCAAGTGTGGAGTGCGAAGTAGTTCGTTTAGTCAATGGCGGAACATTATACGGCCGAGTTGAGGTTTATTTCAGTGGACAATGGGGCACAGTGTGTGATGATGGCTGGGATATCAAGGATGCTAATGTGGTGTGTCGTGAGCTGGGCTTTTCTCGTGCATCCGGGTCTCCTCATGGAGCTAAATATGGTCAGGGGTCTGGTACTATTGCGATACATGACGTCAATTGCCATGGAAGAGAGGCATCGCTACTAGAGTGTCCTCTTGTTGGGTGGGGAACATCTGACTGTAGTCATAGCAAGGATGCAAGTGTGGAGTGTGAAGTAATGGTTCGTTTAGTCAATGGCAGAGCATCTTATGGCCGTGTTGAGGTTTATTACAGTGGGCAGTGGGGAACAGTGTGTGATAATTCCTGGGATATCAATGATGCTAATGTGGTATGTCGTCAGCTTGGCTTCTTTCGTGCATCCGGGGCTCCCAGGGGAGCAACGTACGGTCAGGGGTCTGGTACTATCTGGATGGATAGAGTCGTTTGTCGAGGAGATGAGGCATCGCTACAAGAGTGTCCTCATAATAGATGGAGAACATCTGGCTGTAGTCATAGCAAGGATGCAAGTGTGGAGTGTGAAGGAGTTCGTTTAGTCAGTGGTGGACAATTTTATGGCCGTGTTGAGGTTTATCACAGTGGACAATGGGGCACAGTGTGTGATGATGACTGGGATATCAATGATGCTAATGTGGTATGTCGTGAGCTGGGCTTCTCCCGAGCTTCCAGTGCACCTCGTGAAGCGAAATACGGTCAGGGGTCTGGTACTATCTGGATGGATGGCATCAATTGTCAAGGAGATGAGGCATCGCTACTAGAGTGCCCCTATGAATTAGATACATCTGATTGTAGTCATAGCGACGATGCAAGTGTTGAGTGTGAAGTAATGGTTCGTTTGGTCAATGGCGGAGCATCTTATGGCCGTGTTGAGGTTTATTACAGAGGGCAATGGGGCACAGTTTGTGATAATTATTGGGATATCAATGATGCTAATGTGGTATGTCGTCAGCTTGGCTTCTTTCGTGCATCCGGGGCTCCCAGGAGAGCAAAGTACGGTCAGGGGTCTGGTACAGTCTGGATGAATAGAGTCGCTTGTCAAGGAGGAGAGGCATCGCTACAGCAGTGTAGTCGTGGAAGATTGGGAACAGCTGACTGTAGTCATAGCAAGGATGCAAGTGTGGAGTGTTCAGCAGTTCGCTTAGTCAATGGCGGAGCATTATATGGCCGTGTTGAGGTTTATTACAGTGGGGAATGGGGAACAGTGTGTGATAATCACTGGGATATCAATGATGCTAATGTGGTATGTCGTGAGCTGGGCTTCTCCCGAGCATCCGGGGCTCCTCGTCAAGCAAAATACGGTCAGGGGTCTGGTACTATCTGGATGGATGGCGTCAATTGTCAAGGAGATGAAGCATCGTTACGAGAGTGTACCTATGACGCGGATACATCTGACTGTAGTCATAGCGAGGATGCGAGTGTTGAGTGTGAAGTAATGGTTCGTTTAGTCAATGGTGGAGCATCTTATGGCCGTGTTGAGGTTTATTACAGTAGGCAGTGGGGCACAGTGTGTGATGATTACTGGGATATCAATGATGCTAATGTGGTATGTCGTCAGCTTGGCTTCTTTCGTGCATCCGGGGCTCCCAGGAGAGCAACGTACGGTCGGGGGTCTGGTACAATCTGGATGAATAGAGTCGCTTGTCAAGGAGGAGAGGCATCGCTACAGCAGTGTAGTCGTGGAAGATTGGGAACAGCTGACTGTAGTCATAGCAAGGATGCAAGTGTGGAGTGTTCAGCAGTTCGCTTAGTCAATGGCGGAGCATTATATGGCCGTGTTGAGGTTTATTACAGTGGGGAATGGGGAACAGTGTGTGATAATCACTGGGATATCAATGATGCTAATGTGGTATGTCGTGAGCTGGGCTTCTCCCGAGCATCCGGGGCTCCTCGTCAAGCAAAATACGGTCAGGGGTCTGGTACTATCTGGATGGATGGCGTCAATTGTCAAGGAGATGAAGCATCGTTACGAGAGTGTACCTATGACGCGGATACATCTGACTGTAGTCATAGCGAGGATGCGAGTGTTGAGTGTGAAGTAATGGTTCGTTTAGTCAATGGTGGAGCATCTTATGGCCGTGTTGAGGTTTATTACAGTAGGCAGTGGGGCACAGTGTGTGATGATTACTGGGATATCAATGATGCTAATGTGGTATGTCGTCAGCTTGGCTTCTTTCGTGCATCCGGGGCTCCCAGGAGAGCAACGTACGGTCGGGGGTCTGGTACAATCTGGATGAATAGAGTCGCTTGTCAAGGAGGAGAGGCATCGCTACAGCAGTGTAGTCGTGGAAGATTGGGAACAGCTGACTGTAGTCATAGCAAGGATGCAAGTGTGGAGTGTTCAGCAGTTCGCTTAGTCAATGGCGGAGCATTATATGGCCGTGTTGAGGTTTATTACAGTGGGGAATGGGGAACAGTGTGTGATAATCACTGGGATATCAATGATGCTAATGTGGTATGTCGTGAGCTGGGCTTCTCCCGAGCATCCGGGGCTCCTCGTCAAGCAAAATACGGTCAGGGGTCTGGTACTATCTGGATGGATGGCGTCAATTGTCAAGGAGATGAAGCATCGTTACGAGAGTGTACCTATGACGCGGATACATCTGACTGTAGTCATAGCGAGGATGCGAGTGTTGAGTGTGAAGTAATGGTTCGTTTAGTCAATGGTGGAGCATCTTATGGCCGTGTTGAGGTTTATTACAGTAGGCAGTGGGGCACAGTGTGTGATGATTACTGGGATATCAATGATGCTAATGTGGTATGTCGTCAGCTTGGCTTCTTTCGTGCATCCGGGGCTCCCAGGAGAGCAACGTACGGTCGGGGGTCTGGTACAATCTGGATGAATAGAGTCGCTTGTCAAGGAGGAGAGGCATCGCTACAGCAGTGTAGTCGTGGAAGATTGGGAACAGCTGACTGTAGTCATAGCAAGGATGCAAGTGTGGAGTGTTCAGCAGTTCGCTTAGTCAATGGCGGAGCATTATATGGCCGTGTTGAGGTTTATTACAGTGGGGAATGGGGAACAGTGTGTGATAATCACTGGGATATCAATGATGCTAATGTGGTATGTCGTGAGCTGGGCTTCTCCCGAGCATCCGGGGCTCCTCGTCAAGCAAAATACGGTCAGGGGTCTGGTACTATCTGGATGGATGGCGTCAATTGTCAAGGAGATGAAGCATCGTTACGAGAGTGTACCTATGACGCGGATACATCTGACTGTAGTCATAGCGAGGATGCGAGTGTTGAGTGTGAAGTAATGGTTCGTTTAGTCAATGGTGGAGCATCTTATGGCCGTGTTGAGGTTTATTACAGTAGGCAGTGGGGCACAGTGTGTGATGATTACTGGGATATCAATGATGCTAATGTGGTATGTCGTCAGCTTGGCTTCTTTCGTGCATCCGGGGCTCCCAGGAGAGCAACGTACGGTCGGGGGTCTGGTACAATCTGGATGAATAGAGTCGCTTGTCAAGGAGGAGAGGCATCGCTACAGCAGTGTAGTCGTGGAAGATTGGGAACAGCTGACTGTAGTCATAGCAAGGATGCAAGTGTGGAGTGTTCAGCAGTTCGCTTAGTCAATGGCGGAGCATTATATGGCCGTGTTGAGGTTTATTACAGTGGGGAATGGGGAACAGTGTGTGATAATCACTGGGATATCAATGATGCTAATGTGGTATGTCGTGAGCTGGGCTTCTCCCGAGCATCCGGGGCTCCTCGTCAAGCAAAATACGGTCAGGGGTCTGGTACTATCTGGATGGATGGCGTCAATTGTCAAGGAGATGAAGCATCGTTACGAGAGTGTACCTATGACGCGGATACATCTGACTGTAGTCATAGCGAGGATGCGAGTGTTGAGTGTGAAGTAATGGTTCGTTTAGTCAATGGTGGAGCATCTTATGGCCGTGTTGAGGTTTATTACAGTAGGCAGTGGGGCACAGTGTGTGATGATTACTGGGATATCAATGATGCTAATGTGGTATGTCGTCAGCTTGGCTTCTTTCGTGCATCCGGGGCTCCCAGGAGAGCAACGTACGGTCGGGGGTCTGGTACAATCTGGATGAATAGAGTCGCTTGTCAAGGAGGAGAGGCATCGCTACAGCAGTGTAGTCGTGGAAGATTGGGAACAGCTGACTGTAGTCATAGCAAGGATGCAAGTGTGGAGTGTTCAGCAGTTCGCTTAGTCAATGGCGGAGCATTATATGGCCGTGTTGAGGTTTATTACAGTGGGGAATGGGGAACAGTGTGTGATAATCACTGGGATATCAATGATGCTAATGTGGTATGTCGTGAGCTGGGCTTCTCCCGAGCATCCGGGGCTCCTCGTCAAGCAAAATACGGTCAGGGGTCTGGTACTATCTGGATGGATGGCGTCAATTGTCAAGGAGATGAAGCATCGTTACGAGAGTGTACCTATGACGCGGATACATCTGACTGTAGTCATAGCGAGGATGCGAGTGTTGAGTGTGAAGTAATGGTTCGTTTAGTCAATGGTGGAGCATCTTATGGCCGTGTTGAGGTTTATTACAGTAGGCAGTGGGGCACAGTGTGTGATGATTACTGGGATATCAATGATGCTAATGTGGTATGTCGTCAGCTTGGCTTCTTTCGTGCATCCGGGGCTCCCAGGAGAGCAACGTACGGTCGGGGGTCTGGTACAATCTGGATGAATAGAGTCGCTTGTCAAGGAGGAGAGGCATCGCTACAGCAGTGTAGTCGTGGAAGATTGGGAACAGCTGACTGTAGTCATAGCAAGGATGCAAGTGTGGAGTGTTCAGCAGTTCGCTTAGTCAATGGCGGAGCATTATATGGCCGTGTTGAGGTTTATTACAGTGGGGAATGGGGAACAGTGTGTGATAATCACTGGGATATCAATGATGCTAATGTGGTATGTCGTGAGCTGGGCTTCTCCCGAGCATCCGGGGCTCCTCGTCAAGCAAAATACGGTCAGGGGTCTGGTACTATCTGGATGGATGGCGTCAATTGTCAAGGAGATGAAGCATCGTTACGAGAGTGTACCTATGACGCGGATACATCTGACTGTAGTCATAGCGAGGATGCGAGTGTTGAGTGTGAAGTAATGGTTCGTTTAGTCAATGGTGGAGCATCTTATGGCCGTGTTGAGGTTTATTACAGTAGGCAGTGGGGCACAGTGTGTGATGATTACTGGGATATCAATGATGCTAATGTGGTATGTCGTCAGCTTGGCTTCTTTCGTGCATCCGGGGCTCCCAGGAGAGCAACGTACGGTCGGGGGTCTGGTACAATCTGGATGAATAGAGTCGCTTGTCAAGGAGGAGAGGCATCGCTACAGCAGTGTAGTCGTGGAAGATTGGGAACAGCTGACTGTAGTCATAGCAAGGATGCAAGTGTGGAGTGTTCAGCAGTTCGCTTAGTCAATGGCGGAGCATTATATGGCCGTGTTGAGGTTTATTACAGTGGGGAATGGGGAACAGTGTGTGATAATCACTGGGATATCAATGATGCTAATGTGGTATGTCGTGAGCTGGGCTTCTCCCGAGCATCCGGGGCTCCTCGTCAAGCAAAATACGGTCAGGGGTCTGGTACTATCTGGATGGATGGCGTCAATTGTCAAGGAGATGAAGCATCGTTACGAGAGTGTACCTATGACGCGGATACATCTGACTGTAGTCATAGCGAGGATGCGAGTGTTGAGTGTGAAGTAATGGTTCGTTTAGTCAATGGTGGAGCATCTTATGGCCGTGTTGAGGTTTATTACAGTAGGCAGTGGGGCACAGTGTGTGATGATTACTGGGATATCAATGATGCTANGCTGGAGGATGCTGGGAACTACACCTGCGTGGCTACAAGTGCAGGAGTGTCCAGCGTTGAGCATAGAAGTGAAGTACTGATCGAACCAGGTAAGTTCCGTTTTACGAGAATATTTGAAGGAGATATTTCTGCATACTACTGCATGATTCGAATAAATCAAAGAAATATAAGGAGAGACTTGAAATTAATTTTACCATTTTTTTCAAATTCTTTTTATTGCACTTTTTAGTTTTTTATATGAGTTGACTGATCAACGGTTGTGTAAAATTCTGTCTTTGAGGTTTCATTAAGTTACTGAATGAGCACATAGAGATTTTTAGTATGCTGGCACCTTAGGAATTAGGTAAAACCAGCGCGCGCGCTATGTTATATAGCTGGTTTTCACTGGAATACAAGCATAAGCTGACATACGCAGCCAGACGCAGTCAGATGTTGATAATTAGCAGATTTTGTTTGGAAAATCTCCTAACAAAAAGGCGCGTCTTAGCAGCACTTTACCGCGTCTGCATATGTTGAATATGACTATACTTGCATGTGCGTCAGAGAAAAACAGCCTATAACCATTTCTTTTAACTGGGGAACAATATTCGTGAAGCTGATATCACGCAATGCGTCTAAAACACCTATCAGTTATAATTTGATTTCTATATCTGCACTAGTTCGTTTAGTCAATGGTGGAGCATCCTATGGACGTGTTGAGGTTTATTACAGTGGATCATGGGGCACAGTCTGTGATGATGACTGGGATATCAAGGATGCTAATGTGGTATGTCGTCAGCTGGGCTTCTTCCGTGCATCGAGGGCTCCTCATGGAGCAGAGTACGGTCGGGGGTCTGGTACAACCTGGATGGATAACGTCAGATGTAAAGGAGAAGAGGCATCCCTGCTACTCTGTGCTCACAATGGATGGGGATCTGAGAACTGTGATCATGAGGAGGATGCAAGTGTGGAGTGTGTAGCAGTTCGTTTAGTCAATGGCGGAGCATTATACGGCCGAGTTGAGGTTTATTTCAGTGGACAATGGGGCACAGTGTGTGATGATGCCTGGGATATCAATGATGCTAATGTGGTGTGCCGTGAGCTGGGCTATTCTCGTGCATCCGGGGCTTCTACTGGAGCAAAGTACGGTCAGGGGTCTGGTACTATCTGGATGGATGGCGTCAATTGTCAAGGAGAAGAAGCATCGCTACGAGAGTGTACCTATGACGCGGATACATCTGACTGCAGTCATAGCGACGATGCAAGTGTTGAGTGTGAAGTAATGGTTCGTTTAGTCAATGGCGGAGCATCTTATGGCCGTGTTGAGGTTTATTACAGTGGACAATGGGGCACAGTGTGTGATAATTCCTGGGATATCAATGATGCTAATGTGGTATGTCATCATCTTGGCTTCCGTCGTGCAACCCGGGCTCCCAGGGGAGCAAAGTATGGTCAAGGGTCTGGTACAATCTGGATGAGTAACGTCGCTTGTCAAGGAGGAGAGGCATCGCTACAACAGTGTCCTCGTGGAAGAGTGGGAACATCTGACTGTAGTCATAGCGAGGATGCAAGTGTGGAGTGTGAAGCAGTTCGTTTAGTCAATGGCGGAGCATTATATGGCCGTGTTGAGGTTTATCACAGTGGGGAATGGGGCACAGTGTGTGATGATGCCTGGGATATCAATGATGCTAATGTGGTGTGCCGTGAGCTGGGCTATTCTCGTGCATCCGGGGCTTCTACTGGAGCAAAGTACGGTCAGGGGTCTGGTACTATCTGGATGGATGGCGTCAATTGTCAAGGAGAAGAAGCATCGCTACGAGAGTGTACCTATGACGCGGATACATCTGACTGCAGTCATAGCGACGATGCAAGTGTTGAGTGTGAAGTAATGGTTCGTTTAGTCAATGGCGGAGCATCTTATGGCCGTGTTGAGGTTTATTACAGTGGACAATGGGGCACAGTGTGTGATAATTCCTGGGATATCAATGATGCTAATGTGGTATGTCATCATCTTGGCTTCCGTCGTGCAACCCGGGCTCCCAGGGGAGCAAAGTATGGTCAAGGGTCTGGTACAATCTGGATGAGTAACGTCGCTTGTCAAGGAGGAGAGGCATCGCTACAACAGTGTCCTCGTGGAAGAGTGGGAACATCTGACTGTAGTCATAGCGAGGATGCAAGTGTGGAGTGTGAAGCAGTTCGTTTAGTCAATGGCGGAGCATTATATGGCCGTGTTGAGGTTTATCACAGTGGGGAATGGGGCACAGTGTGTGATGATGCCTGGGATATCAATGATGCTAATGTGGTGTGCCGTGAGCTGGGCTATTCTCGTGCATCCGGGGCTTCTACTGGAGCAAAGTACGGTCAGGGGTCTGGTACTATCTGGATGGATAACGTCAATTGTCAAGGAGAAGAAGCATCGCTACGAGAGTGTACCTATGACGCGGATACATCTGACTGCAGTCATAGCGACGATGCAAGTGTTGAGTGTGAAGTAATGGTTCGTTTAGTCAATGGCGGAGCATCTTATGGCCGTGTTGAGGTTTATTACAGTGGGGAATGGGGAACAGTGTGTGATGATGGCTGGGATATCAAGGATGCTAGTGTGGTGTGTCGTGAGCTGGGCTTCTCTCGTGCATCCAGGGCTCCGGGAAGTACAAAATATGGTCAGGGGTCTGGTACTATCTGGATGGATGACGTCATGTGTCAAGGAGGAGAGGCATCGCTACTACTCTGTGCTCATAATGGAATGGGGAATGAGAACTGTAGTCATAGCGAGGATGCAAGTGTGGAGTGCGAGTAAAACCATTACAGAATTGTAAAGTTTTGATTGTGAGTTATCATGTAGATTTTTTCTGCAATACCAATCGACACTACTTATTTGAAACTGACACGTTTGTTATTCATAGAATAATGGTAGAAAGTTCAAAGTTGTTCGAACAAAAAATGAAATAAAGATCTCTATTTTTGTAAGAATTATATAGACTTTCTAAAAGTCCTATTTTTTTTCTGTAGCAAGTATTCAAAATTAAATAGACGTAGTTTGGCTATGTTTTGGAAAAGGCGATGCATACAAGAACTGAGAAATAGAGAGTGACCATTGATAAAAACATTTAAACACACACTTATTATTGTCTTCAGGTGATTCCATGTTGCCTTTAGTTCACTTAGACGATACGCGGGTAAATAAATGATTGATTGATTGATTGATTGATTGATTGATTGGTGTTTGCATTTGAATTAATTGACGTTTCTTCTAAGCCTCGTGCTAATTTTGACGAACTTCTATTAAGCGGGAAACCCCTCACCAGGGTTCTCAGTGGAAGCCGGCAGCCAGCGGGATTCTTCCGGCTGTAAAGTCCAACTTAGCCGCATGTTCTGGTTATTAAAATTTGCTCACATATAACAGTCAATTAAGACTTACAGACTGAGACGTTTGAGGAAGAAAACCGTATTTAAAACTCAGGCACATTTTCCGTAAGCTCGTTAAGTGCTTAAATGCAACACTTTGACCCCGTAAAATGCACGAAATCGCATTTTTGGCAACCTACAATTTTAAAATTTTCCCGGGGGGAACGCTCCCGTACCCCGAAGGTTGGCTAGGGCCTCGCTTTACGCCGCCTGTGATGCTTTGTTGGCCGCTTGTCAAAAATTCAACGGAGGACCCTGTTATTAGGCTACTAAGCGGCGCCCTCCCATTTCCCCAAGGGTGGCCGATGAATAGGGGCTCGACAGTAAGTTTATAGGTAAATCAAAAATACAAAAACAATTCTACAAAAAATTCTTCTTGCCACTATTATGGTCACAAGATGACTTCCACTTAATTACATGAAAGTATGAAATTATTTTATAAGATTTAAAGGCAATTAGCCATAAAAACTGCCTATAAAAACTTCTAGAAACTGTCATTATTGTTAAATATCAAATCGCTTCCATAAAAATGAATCATTACTAATTAAATATATATCTTAAGTAATACTTAGTATAGACAAAAACAATATTTCTGTGTCTACTCGACTGAGACATAGACAGCCCCTATTTGTGTTTCTAGTTACTTTAGATGGGTTTTAGGTCTTGGGAAAAAGTTGTTACGAAGTTCCAGTATTTACTGATAATGGAATGGACTTATTTTGCCCCATCCATTTGTGGGGCATAGTAGTTCCGTTTTGACATTTATACTACGAATATGCTTATAGATCATTTTCCCAATCCCATGAAATCCATTACCTAAATAACTGAAGGAAACAAAGTTCGATATATCCTTTAGATCTATCAACCCACTTTTAGTTCAGGATTTTTATCTTCACTTGGGCGCTGCCTCTTGTTTACAGTTTCGTAGAACAGCTAAGAATTTGTCCAGGATTTAACTATGTGTTTTTTTTCGATTAAACTTAGATTTCTCACCGGTAAATAGTTTCTAGTAACACCTAGCGTTATTACATTCTAGTGGAAGCTGTATTGTATGTTTTTAAGTATAGGTTTAACCGTACAGTAAAACTTTGGTTAGCAACAGAAATTGCGTGAGAAACAATTATGATAACAATCTTTTTAGCAAGTACTTGTTAGGTTAAGATAATTGGTGTATGTGTAAGCAATTAAGTATTCGAAAACACATATAACTATCGTAAATCCTCGATTAATATAAGCCTCTCCTTCTCTTCACTTTCTAATAAGTCCCCCTTTTTCCGAGGAAGAAAATTATTAAGCCTCCGCTCTCTTTTAAACCCCCCCCCCCTCCCCTCTACCCTTATTCCACACAATCAAGTTCATAAATGATAGACTGTATTTGTGATGTATTTTTTTTGTTTTTTTGTTTTTGTATTTTTTGTACTTCGTAAATTTCAAGGTTCCCACAAGTAAACAGAAATGTTAAAAATAACTTGTATACGTATAATATCACTCAAAACTCCATATTAGACAGTCATTGCCCTGGTCCAAAACAGGAAGCAGGTAAGCGTAACCCTAGTCTGTTTCTTCCTCTTTTTTGATACCGGTAATGCGTTTCGCTAGAAATAAAATAAGCTCCCCTCTCAAATATGCCCCTCTCTCTCATAAGCCCCCCTCTCAAAAGTACTTAAACTAGATAAGCTCCTCCCGAACTTAACAGAGGATTTACGGTAGTAATCGTAGAGAGAGGATTTTGAAGAAGAGAAATTGAACGTGAAACCAGTAGAGACGACTTTCCAGAGAAAAGATAAAACAATAGAAGAAAGAAAATGCAAGAGTTAAAAGTATGATTACTTAAATAAGATCTTATTGTTAAATTGTTGGCTGTCGTCGACACGGAGTACCTCGCTCAATGAGCTAGTTCCCCGAAGGGCGCGATACTTCCACGCGGTCACCTTAACAGTTTTATCAGAAAGCAAAACATTCACTGTAGGAAGGTCGAAGATATCCACGGTGCAAGGGAAAGGGTCAGGTGTTTTTGCTGTGAGTGGAGCGGCTATTTCATCTCTGGCGAGATACAACCATAGTTGTATAACACCATAGTTGACCCCCTCTTTTAGCTTTAATGGTGTTTGCAGAACACTCAGCTTTGTGTTTCAAGTACATCAAGCATTGTTTACATCTGCTTCGTGAACAATTAAAGGGAAATTACTGAGAGGATATAAAAAGCAGTTTCTTTTCTCGGATAATTGTCTTCAGCCACAACACCCACTGCTGCTAAACAACCAGACAGATCACAACGCAAAATAAATTCGTTTTATATTCCATTAACGGAAGATGATGGTATCTTAAAAACGTGCCACGGTGTGCGATCCAACTGTACAAAGCTAATTGTCGCCTCCAGCAATGAAATAAATCAATTGTCTAAACATTAAGAAAGGATTCACCCGACTATATAGACAAGGTGACTTCCAGAAAGCTGTGTGCGAGTGTCCGCTTTATTCACAGAAACATTAGTCCTACAACATAAATATATGAGTTTAAAAATCATTTTGACACTAGCGATTTATATTTAAGCAATAGAGCACTTTTTCCGTATTTACATAGCCTCATCTAAACAGGAGGAGGGTTGGGAGAATTCGAGACAGTTATGCAAACCCGAGAGGTAGCATAACTTTCGAGAATCCTCTCAGAACCCCGAGTGTTTAGATGAGGCTATGTAGACACGGAAAAAGTGCTGTATTGCTGTTATAAAACAATTCTCAAAAATACGCGCGAAACTAAAACATCACAACCGTGTTTAGATACTCTCTTCTAAACACACCTATCGACCAATGAGAGCGCGCGTAGTAGCTCAGTTATTTTTTTAAAACACAATGTACTCCTTTCCTCTTTCTGTATTCCATAACACACGTCAGACGTCGTGCACAATGATTCAAAGAATGAAACCCTTAAGGTCGGCACACACGTGGAGACTAGTCACTGCGACTGGTCCCTGCAACCAGTCCCTGCTACTAGTCCCCTGAAGAGTTTACACGAAGAGGACTGGTCGCAGGGACTTGTTCCACGAACAGTTCACACGAAGCGTTTCGAGGAACAAGTCGAAGAGATTTGTCCCAAAAATTCAAACTGGTTTGAATTCGTGGGACTAGTCGCAGGGACCAACCTTTGGTCCCTTCTGCTAGATTTTGAGGCAAAAATGGCCAGTTCACACGATGGGACTTGTCCCCGCGACTTGTTGCAGGGATTAGTCGCAGGGACTGGTCCCCTCGTGTTTGCCGACCTTTAAGGCTATGTTCACACTTGGTGTCCGAGTACGGTGTCCGAGTACGATTGTCAATGGGTACTAATGTGAACACACCTTTTTTCCAAGTTCTCGCACCAGAATTAGGGCGCAGTGTCCGTTGTTTACAAAATCTCGAGCCTGTCCTCGGGCACTAAGCGGGTACTTGAGTACTTCAAGTACCCAGTATCTAAACACAATCTTATATTGTGCTGGTGCTCAGGCAACAGTGCTTGGACAAAAAATGTGAACCTTTTTTTATTTCTAACATCTTGTGCGCATTTTTCATCAAGGAAATGTTGTTAACTGAAAAAAAAAAACAATAAATTAACAACAGAAGATTATTGTTTCACAGACAAATGGTACTCGATATGAATACTTACGCCGTAAACTATTGTCATCAGAATGAGAGATTTGGCTTATTTTTGGCACCATCTGGTCTTTAAAAGAGTGTTTAGTAATGTAGCGTTGGAAACTAGCGCTCACCCGCTTGCATTGCCAATAGACCTTTTCACGGTTTCTGACGCCATCTTGCTCGGGGGGCAAACACAGCAAAGATTGCAATAGGTGAATGGGAAAAGTTTAAAGTTCAATGCCCAATAAGTTGAGAGTGATTGACTTTCTGATTATTTTATGATCTGATGTTTTTGGTCAAATTTGAAGAACATAGATACACTATGAGGCGAGGAATTCACTTTTTATTTTGATACAAATGTCACTAAAGTTTCCCGCGAACTGCGAGTCGGTTTTACAGACAAATGTATGGAAAAATGACAAGAAAAAGTTACTGTCGCAGTGAAACTAAAAGAAATACCCAGAAACAATGCTTCACTTAAACTGGTTCGCATCCGCGCGTGAATTATGGGAATCCCGAACCATCGAGTTTAGATTCGAGTTCGAGTTCGAGTTGGAATTCGAGATAAAGTTTGAGAGAACTAATAAAAAATACAAATATTAAAAATAGCAAATAAAACCAACAGAAAAAAATGAAAGCAGCTACACAATACAGGGCCTCTTTTGAAGGTGCATAAGTTTGGCTCAGTAGTGGATAAAAGAAGCTAAAAGAACGAGGAATAATCTATTTTCGCGTCAAGTCCTAGGTCTAGTCTATATATTTAGTGGCTGGTTTGGCTCGACAGTGCATAAAAGAACGCGGAATAATCTATATATTCGCTAAGTCCTAGGTATATATATTTAGTGGCTCGTTTGGCTCGTTTTACTCGGCAGTGAATGGCAAAGGAGCAAACGAGCCAAACAAGCCGGCTTGTCTGGTGGATGATTAAAAGTGGCCCTGTATTCTGTAAGTTAGCCAAAAAATGGAGGAGGAGAGAGGTGAGGTGGTCGCGAAACCACCCCCGGTCGAGATACTTGCATTTCTCGAAGGACGGCTTATCAGGGAAAAAGGCGCGGGGAAGCCCCTGACGAGCATCCCCGTCATTGAGGATGGCACAAACCAAAAATGACGTGATAAGGATTACTTTTCCACAAATGTAGATGCTAACCATGAGCCAACGATCTCTCAAAGAAAGAAAAAGGGTGTACATCA